GAAGAATTAATTAGTAGTCTTGACAAGCTGTAAGGGCTATCCGATGAATTATCAGTATGCGTAGTTGCAAAGTGTGCTGATAACGAGGTAAATCTTACTATAGCAGGTCGCACATAGGTATTCTCTGAACAACCGGGTGAGCCAATACTTGTAATTTAGGTAGCAAAAGGAATAGCCTCTTGCAATATTTTAATATTTCATAGTATAATATTATAAATCCTAATAAAGTATAGGCAAGACTGCCGAAAAAAAAAAAAAAAAAAAAAAAATCAGCTATACCTTCTACATTATAGGTATATTACAGGTCGGTCCAAGTATTGTCGGTTCGGATCTTTCTCATAACCTGGTCCTGATCGGGTCTGAAAAGTCATGGTTCCGACCAGACCCGCAAGGCCGGTCCGGGTTTTCGGTTCGGGTATGCAATTAATTCTGGCCAGCATTAAGAAATTAACTCATAATTTTGGTCAAAACATGCATGCAAAAAATACATGCGCGTGTGCATGCTAAAATGAAATTTTCATTTCTAAGTCTGGTCCGATCCATTTACCGGCTTTTTACCAGGTATGTGCCTTAATCGGTCCTGAAAGTTAATAATTCAACCCATTTTATTTTATTTTTTTTCAATTAAAAAAAAAATACCAATAATCAATTGTGAAATGATATTATTATTTAACTACTTGATAATAAATAAACCAGAATAACAATATTAAAAATACTAATACATGAAGTAGAAATAGCTGTACTAGAATTATTTGTGCGTGTTAATTGAACATTTTTACTATAAAATCGGATATTTTACTATCTGATTCTTTTCTAATCTTAGCTAATCAGTGTCAACTACATTACCCTTTTTTTAGCTTTGCATAATATAAACCAGAATTTTTCATATAATATAAGATTCAAGATATTATAACGATTATTTCATGATTTACATACGTAAGTGACTTACTTGCAAAAAAAAAAAGAAATTTAATTTTAAGAAATTTGCACAATTGAAATAATCATGTTCCGGGAAGACATGTCAAGAAAGATTATCAGCTCTAGGTCGTAATATCACTTGTGCTTTAGTAATCACCCTATCATAACTATAATTATCAATATCATTCATCATAATTGCTACTGCAGGAAATGCACAAATTTCAATATCCTCTGAATCCTCTAGATATGCGATTTCTTCCATAATTTCAATATCAAAAATGTCACCACCTTCATAAAAAATAACTTTTGGAGGTAGTTCTTGAGTATATATACGAAAATGAAATAAATTCATAATTTTATAAACTATATCCTTTGCTTTCGATTGTAATTGAATATTTTTTTCTTTCGATTCTATGGTTCTGTATTTATCCATTAATTCTAAGAGATCTTTAGCAATTTTTTGAATGAGTGGATGATCTTGATTGGTAAATCCTCTATTACTTAAAGCAGCGTAAATTTGTTGACGTATCTTTATTGGAAGAATACGTGTATACTCGTCATTTCCTCGGTTAACTTCTGAAAAACGATGAGTTAAACTAATTAAATCTTTTGTTTTTTTTATAATTTCAACTTCAAGTAAATCATTCGGTAGATTTGTGTTTTCGTAGAATGAATTTCCATGTTGATCTTCAAAATAATTTGATATTTCTTGACGAATAAATTCAAATATATGTCTTTGTAAAACTGCACCAAGAATTAGTTTCATTTGTGGATCATCAGAAGTTATTGAACATTTATATTTTTTAAACAGCTCATTAACAGCTTGGGTATGAATTTTTATTTTAGATATTTTAGATCCTTTTACACTAGTGAAAGTTGATAATTCATGTTTAAGATGATCAATTTCTTTTATTAACTGACCAGAATGATTAGGATCATCATCTTTCCATGAGAAATTCAAGGCGTTCCCTAATTTAGCCTGATGTTTTGCAGCTTCATCTCTTAAACGTTCGTTTTCTTGAAGTAAGATATTTACTTCATCTTGTAATGTTCTTCCAAAAGACAATTTACTTGATTGTTTCTTGATCGGAGTTTTCCATGATTTTTCTTTTTCATTTTTAAGTGCTTCAAGTTCGTTGGTCAACTCTCTGTTTTTTGTCTCTAAAAACATCTGTTCTGATTTATCATTTTGTATATTTTGTACATTTTGTATATTTTGTATATTTTGTACATTTTGTACATTTTGTATAGGCATAAGCATGTATTTAATACGGGTCATGCATTGATATGAAGAAATATATCTTGCATAATATAGGTAAGTCCAAGATTGAATTCCATAAATACATATCAAACGTAATAGATGCCTTTGTGACAGATCCATGTCTTCTATATTGAATTGACTTAAGCTTGGCAAGCTATGCTTATCATGAAGATAATTAATAATTTCTCTCATCACTTTATTTCGTAATTCAGCATCTTTTGATTTTATACTTTGAAAATAGTCTGTAAAATACTTTCTAATGATATCGCAACGTACATCGTATCCATCGTTCATCATTATATTTTCTATTTCATTTTGAATGATTGATGATTCATAAATAAATTCACCAAGTGCATTATGAAAATCTGGATCATTATTCCATACGACAAAAAATAGACAAGCGTAACCATCCCAATATTTTATATTTCCAAAAACTTTAAAAACTTTAGAATATTCACTATCAGGTTGTTTTAAATTAATTGAGGGCTTGTGTGGATGTCGTTTTGAATAGGGTTTACCATTACGCTGAAAAAAATTCATTTTTTTTTAAAATCAATTTTTAAAAAAAATTTTTTTAAAAAAACACTTTATAACGAATCACTTTCAAGCCACATTTTTTTTGTCATTGTAGATATGTATGGTAAATATGTATACATTTGGAAATATTGTGATCAATTTTTCAAATCGTGATAAATTCGATTTTGAACTAATGCCTTTAAAGTAGTTATTTATCTACAAAGTTAATCAAGATTAGTTCAAGTTTTTTTTTTTTTTTTTTTTTAACAAAAAAACAGAGATAGATCTTCCTTGGCACGTATTTCAATTGTTCTAAAATTATTATTATATAACTTGTATATCATATTCATGTACTGTACATACGTACGCATTTACGTAATGTAGCTCTTTAATTATCCCAATATCTTCAGAAATTGACATAATTGCTATCCGTACATCCATCATGTGTTTCTTTGAATGTCAAGAGAATTATTTTAATATAGGAATGAGTGACATCTATCTCTATTACCATCGATTATTTTGGAAGGTTGATACATAGGGTGGGAACGATTTAACACTTGTGTATTACAAAGGATAGTCTTGAAAAACTAGTTTTCTTAATTCTTATTGATTATTTTCGAATTTCTGATTTTTAATAAATACATAACGCCATATAGATATGCATAATCTAGTTTATCCGGTAAACAGCTGTTTAGATTTTCCGGAAAACTGTACTGTTTGCATTTACATAGAGTTATGCAAATCATTTCGGGGTAAAAAAATAATTAAACCTGTTGGGGACACGATTTTGCATATGACAATTCTATTAAAACTCTCCTAATCCAAATGCTAATTAGATAAATAATTCTGGCGTATATCCGGCTGATGAAAAAAGATTACTTTTGGAAATTTCGAAAACTGGTATTTTTAATAAATAACGCCATATTGATGAGTAATCTAGTTTATCCGGAGAAAAGATTATTTTTAGAGATTGGTTTCGTTTTTTTTAAGGGTTCGACATACACGTATACGTATTAGTATGAAAATGTATCATTCGTGATTGACATGAATATTGAAATTCTTTGAATCCGATACGTAGAACTTTTTTTATGCAATTGCAGTATATTTTAATAATTTTATTCATGTCTAGAGCAACTAATAAACAAAATTACGTAAAATGCCAAAGAAGTCACATGCTCAGTTTACATTAACATAATACAGACAATCAATTTGCTGAAGTCTTCTTGCTGTAAAACAGTTTCTAAATCAAATTGATAAATGCATTATGTAAAATCAGACTATATACATATTAATTAAATTAAGAGTCTAAAAGTATTTCATTGTCTATTAGGTTGCTTGCCTGATAATAACGATCAATCTTATTCAAAGCTAACTCAAATTCTTGTTGGTTAGCCCAGGGTTCCCATGGATTAAACTCTTTACTGTTCAAGGAACAACTACTTGAATTATCACTTTTCTTTTTAACACTATATTTCTTACTATATCTGACAATAATAGTTGATGGCTCATCAGATTCAATTCCCCATGCATGTTGTACTTTCTTCTTAAAAGAATGGTTTACACAATATCCATTTTTGTAGGTTGTATTCTTCTTATTGGTTTTCTTTTTATTTAGAGAATGGCTGGATATAGAATTTTTAATGATGAAATCATCAGATTTGAGATCCATTTCATTTCTCTCCTTGTGTTCTAAAAATCGCCGACTTTCCATATTAGGTATATCTTGTGTTTTCTGTGTTCTATTGTTGTAATTAGATCTCAAAGACATCTATAATTTAAATAGAGTTTTATAAATACCATTCATACTGGAAATATAATCAAATTTTTTTTTCTTTTAGTCTTACCTGATTTTGCATATCAGTTTTTTTCACTCTTCCTGCAAGTAAAAGGTTTTTAGCTTGATTAAGATTACCCTCGTTAATGTTATTATCAAAATAAATATGTTGCTGAAATCCAAGAGGAGGGATGTATTGATTTTCAAATTTATAAGATGGACCTATTTCAGATTTCTGTGCAAAAAATAGCACAGTCAAGACAAAATATCAACATGATCATTGGAATCTGTGAGGATCAGAAAAAATGATAAATAATAACGATAAAATATTTTTCTTTTGTTTTTTTTACTTGATCTTTTAGTTCACCTTTAACTCTTTTAGGAAACGAAAATTCTTGTACATTTTCACATTTAGGGCGTTTTCGTTCATTGGAAAAATTTTTTTGCACGCGAGTCCAAACTTTATTTTTATAACAAGGCCAAAGTACTTTATCACCTGTTTAATACACTGAATTAAAGATACCTACAATATTATAAATTAAAGCGATAAAATGATTTAAATTATATCTTACTTTGATTATTTTCATTAATCATGATGGATTTGTTTCTGTTCCTAATATTATAAGTAGATCGAGTCTGATCAAAATAACGTCAATTTTTTAAACACGTTTGTCTTTTTGGATCAAAAAAAATTTTTACCGGCTTAATTGATTCTTATGTATCCAATTTGGTTCAAACATTTTTTTGCGGCGAAGAGACATGAAAATGTTTGAAAACACGTTTAGAAAAAAAAAACAAAAGTGAGAAACTTTTAAATTTATTGTTAGATCAGTTGAAATTTTTGTTTATTTTTTGACATCACGCTGATTAAGAATTTACATCATGAAGATTTTCTGAGTTTGGACGCACGACCAAAACACCTTTTTTCACGTGATATTAAATAAGTCTCGCGTATATAAATGTTTATGTTCGTGACGAAAATAGCAATTTTTTATTTAAATAATAAATAAAACTTTATTTAACACTAAATAACTAAATAACTAAATGACTAAATGAATGATTTAAAAAATAAATTATTATTATTTTTTTTTTTTCAAAAAAAAAAAATAGATTTTTAAACTTTTGGTCGTACTGTTACTTGCGCTTTAGTAAATACCCTTTTTTCACATTCAATTACTATAGCTGGAAATGAGCAAATTTCAACTTCAAAATCTTTAACGTCACCTTGCCAAATACCATCCATAAGTTCAATATCAATGGGTTCACCACTTTCATAAAACCGAATATTAGGTATTGGTTCTTGAGTATTTAATCGAAAGCAAAATATATTTAAAACTTGTTGAATTATCGAAGTTGCTTTTACGACAAGTTGTTTATTTTTATCTTTGGATTCTATTTTTCTGTAACATTCCATTTCTTTTATAAGATTTTCAAGCGTTTGTTGAACAAGTGAATGATCTTTTTGATTGATAAATCCTCTATTAGAAAGTGCTGCATATATTTGTTGTCGTAATTTTATAGGGAGAACGCGAGTGTGTTCATCATTTCCTGGATTAACTTCTGAAAAACGAGTTATCATTGGAACTAGTTCTGATGTCCTAGAACAAATGCCCGCCTCAAGTTGGTCATCTTCTAAATTTATATTTGTAGGTTGAATTTGTCTCTTAAAATTTTCTGAGATATCATATATAAGATCAAGAACCCGTCTTTGTAGGACGGCAGCTAAAACAACTTTCATTGCTTTATCTTCAAATTTTGTTGAACAATTGTATTTTTTAAAGAGTTCAGAAGCTGCTTCTTGATTGATCTGTGTTCCTTTGACTCCGGTAAAGGATTGTAAGTCACGCTGAAGTTTTTCAATATCTTTAATTAATTGCATAGAGTTATTAGGATCGTCATCACGCCATCTAAAATTCACGACATTACCCAATGCTGCTTGGTGCCTTGCTGCTTCGAGTTTCAATTTTTTGTTTTCTTCTAAAAGTTTTGCTGTTTCGTTATTTACATTGGATGTTTTATTGTAAGATTTTTCGATTTGACGACTTGATTGTTTAAATTCATCATATTCTGCTGATCCGGAAATATTTCGTGCTTTTGAAATTCGGTCATTCTTTTCTCCTGTTATAAGTTTGTCTAAAGATTGCTGAAATCGATTATCTCTGAAATAATTAATATAATCTGCGAAATCTGAGAATGATGCAATTCTGTTAACGCAAATTTCACGTAATATTAATCTTTGTTGAAAAGTCACATTTTGTAATTGCTTGAGAAATTCTTTAAGATTTTTTATGTAACGAGGACGAAGCTCCTCTCCAATCCTGTCAATTAATTGACTCATTTTTTTTTCTTCATGAAACAATCGTAAATTTTTGTATTCGTTGAGAATTTCTTTAATTGACTCAAGCTTACTCGGACTAGCACCGCCATGTTTGTCTATTTTTTCGATTAATTCTTGAATTTCTGCTAATTGTTCCAAAACTTTACCGGTGCCTGAGTCCTTAGAGTTAGATTTGTAATCGATGTTGCAAACCATTATGAATAAAAGGGGATAACCATTCCATGTTTGTATTGACCCAAAAGTTCCAAAAAGTTCAACTAAATCGTTTTCACGGTCATTTTGAATGTTTTGATAACGGGGAGGAGCAGGAGGAGTACTTCTAAAGAAACTTCCATAATAATCCCTGTAATAACTATAATGTCGGCTCATCTTAGAATGACTGCAAAAAAAAAAAAAAAAAGATATGAATCTATTATCTTTATATACCGATACGCACAGCCTCAGATGTTCGGCAAATCATCCGCCTACCGTAGTTAACTTTAAATTCTGGCTATCTTTGTCATTGTTAACTATTTTGTCGTGAGAATTTTTAACTGCTTACCAACCATAGATAACGATAGATCATCAAAATATTTAATCAGGAGTTGATAGAACTTGAAAGCAGTCTCCGGTGAAACCATATAATGAAAAGGTTGAAAACGTTCTCCGGTTAAACCATATAAAGTTCTATCAATGAAAAAGTTGAAAACCATGAATAAAAACGGAATTAAAATCAAATCTTTTAGTGTTAATGCTCGTTGTACGACTCTTTCGATACATCACAAAATTTCAGATATAAATTTAAGCCACTGACCTCCTAAATTTTTTCAACTGTCAAAATTAAATTATCATGAGTCGCTATCAAAGATTCTCACAATCATCTTTCCAATATAATCCCCAATATAATTCTCAAAATAATTCCCAATATAATTCTTCGTATAATTCTTCGTATAATTCTTCATATAATTCTCCATCGGAGGATATAAGAGCTGTCGTTGCAATCGGTATTTTTAATTCAATATTTTTTTTTTAGATTTGTAAATTAAAACGACATTTAAGCTGATCATCTCTATTTATGAAATAAAGATTTTGGAACTACATTTAGCGGTTTCGCTTATGCTCATAAAGCTAATCCCAATGAAATAGAAATAAATACTCGATGGTAATATTAAAAAAGCCATCAATATTGATAAATCATAATTACTGTTGATTTATTGTTAAAACAATTAAAAAAAATTAATATTTCTCACATTTTAGGTCCGGAAGAGAAGGACTTCCAAAAACAAATACCGCGTTACTATATGATAGTAGATGTAAAGAAGTATTAAAATGGGGTGAACCCGCATTACTTTACGAACAAAAAAGGATCCGAAATAGTTCTAGGGAATTATTAGGTTTAACACATCCACCACAAAACCACATGGTTGAAAAATTTAAATTGTACCTAGATGATAGTAGTAATGAAAAACCATGGTTGCCTGATGGTTTAAATTTTAAAAAAGCTATTGTTGATTATTTAAAGCAAATGAAAGAAGTGAGTATTTATAAGTTTAATATAAATTTACTTTTGAATGTTAATCACTTTTATGATTAAATACTGCTTTTACGATTAAATACTGTAGGTTATAGAAAAAACACTTGATATAAGATGGCAAGGTTTGAATTTAAACCAAGTACTATATGTATTATGTGTTCCTGCGGAATGGGTAAGTTTTTAAATTTTCCAAAACGTTCAGAAAGCAAGCACTCGTTTAAAACACTCGAATCTTTTTTTTTTTTTTTTTTCCTACTAGGGACCGCATACGAAAGCAATAATGCGCGACTGCGCATATAAATCTGGATTGTACTGTAATTAAATAATTTTCACCATATAGTGCAGACAACCTAGTCTCAACAAATAAAATTGATGAAATTCAAATTGCTAATCCTTTTTCAAAAAAAAAAAAAAAATAGTAAACACAAAATACTATCTTGAAATGTTAAATCAGGACTAGCTAACACTTATTTATAAAAAAGTTATAGCAAGTTAAAGTTATAGTATTTTTATAAAATTTGGCCACCTTATATATATATAAGAAAAAGCAAATTTGGCCTCTTTGAACAATTAATTTAATATATAAAAATTTGAAATTTAGCCACTTTATATATCAGATATAAAATAGCTAAATTTTCAAATTGGCCTTTTCAAATATATAAAAAATAAAATCTGAATTTGGCCTCTAAAAATTTTTATTTGCTGTGACTAGGTTGTTCGCACTGTAGTTGAAATTTTTAATTAATAAATATCTAACATGTTGCCTTCCTTACAATTAATTACAGGTTAGAAGAGAATCTATACTCTCATTTAGAATTTACCACTGAGCGTAATTATTATTTTATTTTTTTTGTACTAAATTTGACATCTTGATTAACACCGTGAAGCATTTACCTGAATTCTCGTTATTTCATAATAACAGCTGAAGCGGCTGCCCTACATTGTCTATCAGCTATCGAAGAACATAGTTTAGCAGTAGGCGGTTAGTATTCAAAATAGCATTTATATTTGCAAATTAATTATATACACCCGTAAATATTTGAATGGCAGTATAATTTCTTAAAATAATTAAATGATACAAAAGACTTTATTAAGTTGAAACCAGCTAACAAATTTTGACAATAATTCATTTAATTTTAATATTTTTGAATGATTATTATTAATTTTTTTAGATACGTTTCTTGTTGTTGATTGCGGAGGAGGTACCGTCGATCTCACAATGAGGACACTCCAAAAGGGAAATAGGCTAAAAGAAGAGACCGTTAGAACAGGCGACTTGTGCGGTAGCACTTTTGTGGATCAAGCATTCATTAACTTCATGGGCCGCACAGTAGGCTTTACCGCTTTAGACGAGCTAAGAAGATATGCCCATAGTGACTTACAAAAGCTAGTTCATAGATTTTTTTGTGAGACGGTTAAACTTCCATTCACTGGAGATCCCTTTGAATTTGAAACAGTTGAATTGGATCTCGAAAGGCATTGCCCATCATTGAAATCATATATTACTGGAGCGGAAAGATCTAAATTAGAAGATAGTGAATGGGTCATTGAGTTAGATTTTGATGTTGTAAAAAAAATGTTCGATCCGACGATCGATAAAATCCTCAAGTTAATTAATAATCAGTTGTTGGATCTTCCTAACAGGCGTAAATGTAAAGCTATGTTTTTAGTTGGCGGATTCAGTGAATCCCCATATCTGATAAAAAGAGTGAGAGAGAAATTCCTAGGGCGTGTACCTATTATTGCATTCCCTCGAAAACCAATTGCTGCAGTGCTTAAAGGGGCAGTTAAATATGGACTGGACATGGGCCTTGTCGAAACTCGAGTCTTAAAATGGACTTATGGAGTGGAAATAAAGGTAAAATTTGAGCGCGGTGATCCACCTAGACTTCGGTAAGTTATGTTCTGTTTTGTAAAATAAATAATAATTCATAAATTTATACAATAGTAATTAATGCCAATTATGCTATAATGATATTTTAGAACATATGATAACAAAATTTGGAAGTTTGATCGTTTGGCGGCTCGCGGAACACAGGTTTCTGTCGATCAAACTTTTTCTAAAGAGTACCTACCTTTAAGCGCTGATCAGACAACAGCGGTATTTCAAATATACATAACTAAAGAACGAAACCCAAAATACATTAAAGAGAAAGAGGCTGGAATGCGTAAGCTTGGTACTCTAAAAATCAGCTTATCCAATATACCTTCACGAGGGAGAGACCGTCCAGTGGAATTTACATTAACTTTTGGCACGATGGAAATCACAGCTACGGCTAGAAATACGTTAACGAACGAAATATATGATACTAAATTCGAATGGGACGTTCAAAAATAATGAGATTTATATTACCGTCGTTCAGGTTGGTTTTTTTTTTTTTTTCGATCTACTATTTATTCTTTAAATCTTTATTCATATAAATTTTCATATAAAAGATAAATATTCATATTCATTATTTTCATTATTTCGAAGGTGTTGAAGTGCAATTTTTATCGCTGTTGTAATAAAACGGCTACTTCAGAGCAAGAGAATTTGTATAATACTATACATATATAGTACACCTATTTATGTGATTAAGGTCAGGGATTAAAGGAAAGTTTTTTGAGACGCTGTGTATTTTTATTTAGCGCTATATGCTGATTACTTAACCAGTTTTCTAAGAGATGAGTTCAACATCTATAGTGTGTTTTAGTAAACCAGAATTTTTATAATATTTTTCATGTTATTTTTTCATTTACAAGCCGTTAAAGTATAAGGCAATCAATATTCATGATGAAACATTCCTGTATTTCTTGCTATAGTTTTTCATTCAGAAATAAAATATATTTTTATAACCAAAATATAATAGCCAACTATCATTTCGAGGCATCAATTAGAAATTGAGATACCTTACCAACTATCAAATTATATAGTACTTTTTATAAAATAAAACATACTGTATATAGTATTCTTTAATACTGAAAAAAACAAAATAAAGTCACTTTTCTTACAGTATGTCTTTAAATATGATCAGAAATTTATAATTTACAGGATTGTATCACAAAACTAATATTTACTTATTATCGATATCATTAATCCCAGGATACTCTAACATGTAAGTTATATATTCTTTTAAAAAGTAGGAATTTGCAGAATTCGCATAACATTCTTTTGTTACGGAATGAATACTTACTAAGGACAAACCTATAATCATCTGAGCGTTATTTTGAATATATGCGCGTTATTAGAGTACTCGCATGGCGTTATTTTGAGGTAAATATAAAAATTTTCTCGACCTGATTTTTCCCATGTGAGTTATATAGATACAATTTTTAACCAGTTCAAATATTTAAAAATTTTTTTAGCAAAGAATCGTTTAACCATGTCTAGTTGTTTAATTCAAAATTGGCTTTAATATCAGTTTCGAAAATTTTGATCAATTATGAAAGCAATTAAAATGATCTCAATCCTTAATTACAAACAACCTACCTATGATATTTTAGTACAGTTGACCCTCGTTAACATCAACCTCATTAGATTGCAGGCAAATTTACCTTTAAGACGAATAAAATGAAAAATTATATCCTCATTAATATCACTATCAACATGAATATAGAAGTGATCCAAAATTACCGAGGGTCAATTGTATGTCCATTTTTCGGAATTATAATAACTCCTTCGGAATTATAATAGCAACCTTGATCGGCAGGATTTTGAACTTCAGAATTATACCTTTCAAATTGTACTTGTGAATCACGATAAGTAATAATCAGTCATAATAAGCAATAATTCATAACAATTGGGGGTTTCAAAGTTAACAAATAAATGACGCATTTCGAAAATAAATTGGATTTTTTCAATAGTATTTTTACTATGTTGAATTATAAATCGGAAAAATAAAATAAGATTCTCTGATTTTAACTTTGAAACCCCCTAATATGTAAGAATAGGTAACAATTAAAAATTGATATTGCTTACATAAATTATTATATTGCTCATCTTTAATTATAATGAAGATACTATATTTTTCGGAATTATAATGATTATAATGAAGTTGATACATCGTGGATCGTATAATGATTGAGTTTTTGTTAACAGAATCAACCTTTGAGACTATGCATAATTAATGAAGGCATGGCAGATAAAATGATAAGTGAACATATACAGTAACATGAAACAATATAGAATAGTTTAATTGGAGATAAAAAAATAAAATAAATTGAAAAAAAAAAGTTAGCTTACAGTATTTACTTAGAGATCATTTAAAAAGTGATAAGTTATCAGACTTTCAAGCTTATTATTTATTATTTGTCGGATTCATCTTGCGAAAAATCTGATGATATTGTATGTGGTTACTTATACCTGTATGAATTTAGACAGACCATTTGAATTTGTCCGCTCTAAATTAGGGGTCTGGTCTGGTGTAGAGTTTGGAACCGATTTTATTTCTCACTGATGTGTTAAAACCAGTTTTAACATACGAAAAAATAAAGCTGGTTCTAATCTTTGAGATTTGGATAAACATCTAAAAATTGACACTCATGTTGATAATGATATTAGTGAGAGAGATCATATTAAAGTTGATATATGAGAGAATATAATTTTAATAGTTTAGATTGATATTGACGAGGGTTAACTGTATTTTTGCTTTTGTTAAAAACGGAAATTAGTACCGTATTCCGTTCGCCAAAGTACCCCCCCATGTATTGTATCCCTCATAAATTTCTGTAAAATATCCGGGTATAATGTTATGAGTATTTAGATTTCAAACTTTTAGACTTGTAAAATACCCGGGGTACATTTATTTACTATAATTAATTTTGGTATATACAATTTTATACGTATTGTGTTACCTATTGATTTTTAAATTAATAATTATGGCTACGCATTATTTACCTTTATTAGCATATTTATTTTAGAATGTTCTATTTTGTTTAAAATACAATAATGTAAATTACAATTAAACATTAAAGAATAAATGCATTTGCTTTCTAATAAAATATAAATAATTTAATAAAAAAAAAAAAAAAAAACCGAATAAGTTTCGATAAAAAAAAAAAAAAAGAAACCAATAAAATATCAATCGAAATTGAAATCCATTTCATCGATTTCATTGGCACTCTCATTATTGTTGTTTTCTTTATCGGTATTGTTATTATGAATTTCATTTGTAATGTCCCATTCATTTCTATATTCATTATCTTCAGAATATTCATCTCTATATTCATCATTGTCAACATCCATATTCTCATTTTGCTCTAACAAACTATCATAGTCAAAGAGCATATTATCCTCAGAACCATCAGTTTGTGTCGAGATTCCACAACATTTAAATGATCTTTTAATAAGATCAATATCAACTCTATCTCATGAATCTCTAACCCAAGTTGCTATGGTTGAGTATGAAGATTTTTTAATATGACCTGATGGTGTAAAAGTATGAATCGTTGATGACATCCATGTAGTGTAATATTTCTTAAACTTTACCAATACCGATATATATAAATTAATATTATACTGTACAATAATAAAGCAAAAATAAAAATAAAAATAAAAATTTACCATAGATTTGAAACTTTTATTAATTGCAACATCCAAAGGTTGTAATTTTGAAGTGCAACTTGCTGGGATAACAACAAGATTTGTATTTTTTTCTGCTAGTCGGCTTTTTACTGAATTCATAAGATGTGCATGAAATGCATCTAATATTAATATTGATCGAGGGTTGTTTAAATGATAGTTACTTGAAGTTCAGACTGTTTCTATCCACCATAACATCTCATCCTCATTTACCCAACCTGATTCATTAGCTCGAATATAAATATTAGGTGGAAAATCTCCACGAGAAATATTTTTTAATTTGAAAATACAAACAGCTGAAAGCTTAGTACTATCAGCCGTACAAGCGAGCATAACAGTAAAAGAAGATCTTTCATGACCAGTAGTACGAATACTAATTGATTTTTTGCCTTTTATATCAATAGAGCTATTGTTTGGTAGATCAAACCATAGGGGTGTCTCATCCATATTACAAATAAATTTTAAGGGATAATCATATTGAATTCTGCGATATAACACATAATTTAAAAAAAACTGTTGCTTTTCAATTAAATCTGGTGCAAGATGTTGGGCTATTGTTGTTCTGCGTCTATTAGAAAGATTATATCGAACAAAGAATGCATCAAGCCATCTGTTTGAAAATTTAAACTGAATAATATCAGGATATCTTAAGCGAAATTTATTTTGAGACAAAGCCACAGCCTTTTTTGTAATCATATTGCATGTAACTGCATTACCACAAGCTCTTGTTACATTAATCTAATTAAACAAATTATTTTCCAAATCAGGATATTTGGCTAGTTTTCCTAAATGAAGTTTTTTAACGTATGGCGCAGCTAGTAATAGATTGTCTTTTTTGTTTTTCCAATCACGTATTTGCTTGGGTTCCAAATCAAATCGCTTTGCAGTTCCATGTATATTATTATTATTATTTACAAGGTATTCTAAAATCATAAGTTTTTCTCTAACGGTCCATGAACGATGAACTTTAGAAGACATAGTTTTCTTGGCTTTTTTAAATCGTTTGTTTGCAACACAACCCATTGTAAAGTTAAAATCAATTACGAATTTATATATTGACTTTTTATACTTTTAAATTTTTAATAACGTAATATAAAGTTACATTTTTAATACAGATATTTGTTTACTTATATACCCCGGGTATTTTACAATATATATACCCCCCTTATGTACAATACCCGCCCATGTAAAGTACCCTTATCGGGCTTTAAAATGCCAAAATTTGTAAAAGACCCGGGTACTTTGGCGAATGGAATACGGTATATATATATAAAGTATACTTTACAGAAATTTTGATTTTTTAAAAATATAAACAACATAACTTATATCTAGCATATAATAAAAGTCTTAATAAGCTCTGTTAACTCTCTTGTAAGAAACTTATTAATATTATAAACATATTATAAACATATTAGAGATAATTTATTCGTCACTCAGGTGAATTAATGACACAGAGGGGGTGAAAAATATATTTATTATAGGACTATTATATTATTATTAAAATATTGGAAGTTTTTTATTTTATTCTGTTATTATTATTATTAGATTAATAACCGATTATTTTATACATAAAATTATAGAGAATTATTTTTTATACCCCAAATTTATTATCCATACCCCCTGCAGATTTGACTTTTTTTAGACTTTGAGCAAAGATATCTTAGTAACTACCAGGCCAAATTCAACAAACATTTTTTTTTTTGAATTCTATAGACTTGTAGAATTCAAACAAAAAAAGTTCATCGAATTTGGCCTGAGATATCTTAGCTCAAAGTTTG